GCATTGGCTCCTGTCTTGCTTCCACCCACAGCTTCCTGTGTCCCTGCAGAGCCCTCTGGTGCAGTAACTGACTCCTCCTGTCTGAACATACAGCAGATGAATGACCCAGAAGTAGTGGGGCCAGATCTTCAACATGGTGCAGCCTCCACACTGCCACAGTGGAAAGGACATTGTACGTAAACAGGGCAAGCCCGCAAAGCAGCAGGCCAATGACATGTTTCATGCACACAAGCTTCCCTCTGTACCTACTCCTGCTCTCAGACACTGGCACTGCTCTCCTGTGTCATGTTTTCAGCCTCTAACCATGTCCTGTATCATGTCTGTAGCCTCTAACCATCTCCTATATCATGTTTGCAGTCTCTGATCATGTCCTGTATCATGTCCACAATCCCTAATCATCTCTTGTCTGCAGCCTCTAACAATGTCCTGTATCATGTCTGCAGCCTCTAACCATCTCTCGTATCATATCTGCAGCCTCTAACCATCTCCTGCTTTTATCATATCTGCAGCCTCTGATCATCTCCTGTATCATGTCTGTAGTCTCTAACCATCTCCTGTATCATGTCTGCAGTCTCTGACCATCTCTTGTATCATGCCTGCAGTCTCTGACCATCTCTTGTATCATGCCTGCAGTCTCTGACCATCTCCTATATCATGCCCGCAATCTCTGACCATATCTTGTATCATATTCGCAATCTCCGACCATCTCCTGTATCATATCCACAATCTCTGACCATCTCTTTGATAATGTCTGCAATCTCTGACCATCTCTTTGTTTTGTATCATGTATGCAGTCTCTGAGGGGGAACCTGGAGGGAAGTTAGGAGTGGGAGCGCCAATGGGACAGAGATCATGGGAGGAGTCAGATGTGTGTGGAATGTGGAGAGGAAAACATGGGATAAAACCAGAGCTATCAAGCTGGAGCCTGGAGAGGACCATTTGACTGAGCCCTGCATATTGCACCTGAGAGGGGTCATTGACAGTTCCTTCAAGCCAATCTGAGGGGGGGGGGGGTCACTGATGTAAGGGAGGAGTCAATACAGTAAGGTTGGGGGGGCACTGATATACGGTGTATAACGGAGTATGTTCACTTTGCAGAAGGTGGTCTGTGGTCACCATAGTCCACCCCCCCCACATCAGAGTTCCTGGCATTGTTCCTTAAATCAATGTCCTCAAGAGTTTCCATTTGCATCAGTCTGCAGGATTCCCCCTTACAGTGCAACTCTGTGGACTCTGATATAAGGGCGCAGTGCTGCAGAGAAGACCTTGTGTAAGTGGGAACATTGTGGTCTCTCATATAAGGTGTTCTCTGGTCCCCTATACACCCCCAACCCCTTGCATCAGGGTTCCACTTCACACCAATGTCTGCAGCATTTACCCTTACATCATGATTTGCAGAGTTCCACTTTACATCAGAGTCCCCCTTGCACTGTAAGGGGGAGTCCTGCAGACTCTGATGTAAGGCGAAACTCTGTGCTGGCTGGGTTATATTAACCTGACCTTTATGTAAATAGGAACATAGGGGGTTTGCCTTTAGTTATACCTTAAACACATTGCTAATAGCACCAGCTATGTGTTTGTAGCCTAAATATTGATATTTACACTTGAAATGGTCATTTATACACTTCTTAGAAGTGTCAGTAAACAAATGTGGCTGTCCAGTAAATTTCATGATTTTTGTCAGTAAAAAAATTTCTTCTGTTTTCAAATTTTGGGAGTCATGTCAGTACATTTCACTTCTGGGGTGGGGGGGTTGTCGGCTGCCCAAGTTTCTGTGAAGAGAAAGAGTGGGGAGAGAAAAAAATGAAGCAGTGCACAGCTCTGAACCCATTGAGGACTTAGGTGAGTATGTAGGGAGGTTGGGAAGAACAGAAGGAGAATGCATTAAGGTGAAAAGTGTTTTGGCTTTAGAACTACTTTGATTGTCATGTACATTGTACATTGTGTCATGTACATTGTCATGACAGAATAATGCAGACTGCTATTACTGAACTCTTCTTTGATAATGCTAGTTCTCAGTTCTCTGACCAAAATTCTGGTTCAGTGATTTTAGCTCAGTCTGATTCGCTGACCCAGCAAATGTATAGAGATAAGTAGCTCTGATAGTTTTGCAACACTCATTCACAACTTGCTTGTTCCAAGATTGTGACTGAAACATATTAAATCAAAGTCCTCATGATTATTTTAATACAAAGTAATTTAAGCAGAAGATAATATGCAGATTATGATCTTCTAGGAGTTAAACAATAGGGAAATTATTTTTGTTCTTCTATCAGACATTTGAACGTGTTCCAAGTTTGCTAAAACACTGAATTTTAATGATCTCTTGACTCTACCAACATTTATTCATCTAGATTAATCTAGTAAGCAAACACAGATATAAACGCTTCTATGATAGCTCTCTCTATCTGGTCACACCAGACAAACCAGTTTTTCAAATGTTTTTTCTCTTTTAAAGGTAAAGTTAGAGATTAGAAAAAAAAGCTACAGTCATGGCCGAAAATTGTTGGCACCCTTGATATTTCTCCAGGAAATCATGTATTTCTCACGAAACGTATTGCATTAACACATGTTTTGCTATACACATGTTTATTCCCTTTGTGTGTATTGGGGACAAAACAAAAAAAGGGAGGAAAGAAAGCAAATTCGACATAATGTCACACAAACCTCCACAAAAATGGGCTGGACAAAAGTATTGGCACCCCTTTCACAACTGCGGATAAATAAGAATGTTACAAGCATGTGATGCTCCTGTAAACTCACCTGGGGCAAGTAACAGGTGTGGGCAATATAGAAATCACACCTGAAAGCAGATAAAAAGAGAGACGTTCACTTAACCTTTGCATTGTGTGTCTGTCTGTGCCACACTAAGCATGGACAACAGAAAGAGGAGACGAGAGAACTGTCTGAGGACCTGAGAACCAAAATTGTGGCAAAATATCAACAATCTCAAGGTTACAAGTCCATCTCCAGAGAACTAGATTTGCCTTTGTCCACAGTGCGCAACATTATCAAGAAGTTTGCAACCCATGGCACTGTAGCTAATCTCCCTGGTCGTGGACGGATGAGGAAAATTGATGAAAGATTGCAACGCAGAATAGTCCGGATGGTGGATAAGCAGCCCCAAACATGTTTCCAAAGACATTCAAGCTGTCCTGCAGGCTCAGGGAGCATCAGTGTCAGCGCGAACTATCCGTCGACATTTAAATGAAATGAAAAACGCTATGGCAGGAGACCCAGGAGGACCCCACTGCTGACACAGAGACATAAAAAAGCAAGACTACAGTTTGCCAAAATGTACTTGAGTAAGCCAAAAGCCTTCTGGGAAAACGTCTGTGGACAGATGAGACCAAGATAGAGCTTTTCGGTAAAGCACATCATTCTACTGTTTACCCGAAAACGGAATGAGGCCTACAAAGAACAAAACACAGTACCTACGGTAAAATATGGTGGAGGTTCAATGATGTTTTGGGGTTGTTTTGCTGCCTCTGGCACTGGGTGCCTTGACTGTGTGCAAGGCATCATGAAATCTGAGGATTACCAAAGGATTTTGGGTCGCACTGTAGGGCCCAGTGTCAGAAAGCTGGGTTTGCGTCCAAGAGTTTTCCTGGGTCTTCCAGCAGGACAATGACCCCAAACATACGTCAAAAAGCACTCAGAAATGGATGGCAAAGAAGCGCTGGAGAGTTCTGAAGTGGCCAGCAATGAGCCCAGATCTAAATCCCATTGAACACCTGTGGAGAGATCTTAAAATTGCTGTTGGGAAAAGGTTTTGTCCTTCCAATAAGAGAGACCTGGAGCTGTTTGCAAAGGAAGAGTGGTCCAAAATTCCGGGTGAGAGGTGTCAGAAGCTTATTGATGGTTATAGGAAGCGACTGATTTCAGTTATGTTTTCCAAAGGGTGTGCAACCAAATATTAAGTTAAGGGTGCCAATACCAGCCCATTTTTGGGGTTTTGTGTGACATTATGTCATATTTGCTTTTCTGCCTCTGTTTTATATTTGTTCCAATACATTAAACATGTGTATAGCAAAACATGTGTTAATGCAATACCTTTTTTGTGTGAAATACTTGATTTTCAGGAAAAATATCAAGGGTGCCAACAATTTCGGCATGACTGTATACATGTTTAGTATATATAGCCTGATGTTCATAAATATTTCTTTTGTAAGCATAAAGTTTTAGGTCCTCAAAGCAAAACATTCACTGACAACTTTTTCTTGGAGCTGTCTTATTTGAAAGAAAAAAAAAAAAACAAAGTACAAGAACAATGTGTATCTAATCCAACTTGTATTATATCATCCACATTTACCATACCCTCTATCCTCATAGACAAAATTAAAGTTCGAAATATACCAGTTGAGCCTACTATCCCTGATTAAAACTGTCCTACTGCTGGCTAATTTTACACTGCTATATCCTCTTCAGTATCTTAATTATTGTATCCTGTGCTCTTTGTTTCTAGTAAATTTGGACCTAGCTTTGCTCATTTAACCACTTGCCTACAGGGCATTTATACCCCCTTCCTGCCCGGACCAATTTTCAGCTTTCAGCGCTGTCACACTTTGAATGAGAATTGCATGGTCATATGTACCGATATGAAATTTTTATCATTTTTTTGAGACAGAGCTTTCTTTTGGTGGTATTTAATCACCTCTGGGGTTTTTTTTTTTATTTTTTTGCAAAACAAACCAAAAACAACTGAAAATTTTGAAAAAAAAAAGTTTTTTCTTATTTTTGTTATACAATTTTGTAAATAAGTGATTTTTCTCCTTCACTGATGTGTGCTAATGAAGCTGCAGTGATGGGCATTGATAGGTGGCACAGATGGGCACTGATGAGGAGGCACTGGTAGGTGGCAGTGATGGGTATTGATGGGCATCACTGATGGGCACTGAAAGGCAGCACTGATAGGTGGCACTGACTGGCACTGTTAGGCGGCACTGATAGGCAGCACTGATGCTCACTGATAGGCGGCAATGACTGGCACTGATAGGCGGCACTGACTGGAACTGATAGGCAGCACTGATTGGCAGCACTGATAGGTAGCACTGACTGGCATTGATAGGTGGCACTGACTGGCAATAAGTGACACTGAAAGGCAGCTAAGATGGGCACTGATATGTGACATTGATGTGGCACTGATGGGCACTGGCAAGTGGCATTGATGAGCACTGACAGCTGGCACTAATGGGCACTGGCAGTTGGCATTGATGGACACTGACAGGTGGCACTGCTGGGGCTACACTGATCATCAGGGCACACTGATCATCAGTGCCCTGATGATCAGTGTACATGTCCCCTCTGAGGGATGCTGATTACTGGCTCTCCTCTCCTCTCGAGCTGTCAGTGTGACAGCTCGTGAGGGGAGAAATGCAGATGACCGGCATTTCCCTGTTTACATGTGATCAGCTGTGATTGAACACAGCTGATTACATGACCGAGCCGACATCTTCGGCTCTTTCCGTTGATCGGTGATCCACTGTGTCCAAGGGACACAGCACACCACCGATCGCCGCGCTGCGTGCCCCGGAGGCGCGCATGCGTGGTTAGAATGGGAGGACATCATCTGACATCCTCCAAGTATGAGAGAATCGCCTTGTGCCCGTCATTACCTTATATAGCAGGCGGGAGGCGGTTAAATTGCTCCACTGCTGGCCAATTTTGTGCTACTGTATAATCAATAGTTTCTTAATTCTGTAGTTAAACACCTGCTTGTACACTTTAGGATTGATTTACTAAAAGAAATAGAATGTTCACCTCACAGGGGAATTTTCCCCAGAGCTTAGTGGATGCAATGAAATTTTGCATTGCTATTAATCACTTGCCCTCCAGGGGATTTACCCCCCTTAATGACCAGGCCTCTTTTTGCTTCTCGGTGCTGCACTAATTCAACTGATAATTGCACGGTCATGCAATGCTGTACCCAAATGAAATTTATGTCATTTTTTTCACACAAATATAACTTTCTTTTGGTGGTATTTGATCACCTGTGCGCTTTTATTTATTTTTCACACTATAAACAAAGACCAAACATTTTGAAAAAAAAACAATATTTTTTACTTTCGGCTATAAAAAATATATAGAAAACTCAAAGTTAGTTATAAATTTAGGCCAAAATGTATTCTGCTACATGCTTTTGGTAAAAAAATCCTAATAAGTGGATATTGATTGCTTTGTGTGAATGTTATAGTGTCTACAAACTATGGTATAGATACTGCAATTTACGCCATTTTTGCTATACAGCACTGCACTAGTTTAACTGACAATTGCGTGGTCATGCAAAATGGTACATTAATGAAATTTATGTCCTTTTTTCACACAAATAGATATTTTTCTTTTGGTGGTAATTGATCACCTGTGTGCTTTATACGTTTTTGGCGCTATAAACAAACACAGTTTTGAGAAAAAACATTTTTTTAAAAATAAAACGTATTTTCTCATTTCTGTCATAAATCCCCCCAAAAAATAAAATGTCGTCATAAATGTAGGCCAAAATGTATTCTGCTACATGTTTTTGGTTAAAAAAATCCCAATAAGTGTATATTTATTGCTTTGTGCGAAAGTTATAGCATCTACAAACTAAAGTATAGATAATGGAATTTACACAGCTTTTACTTTCTGACTCCCCATCACGTTTCTTGAGGTGCTAAAATACCAGGATAGTAGAAACACCCCCAAATGACCCCTTTTTGAAAAGTAGACACCCTAAGCTATCTGCTGAGAGATATATTGAGTCCATGGAAGATTTATTTTTTTCCACAAGTTTCTGGGAAAATGACAAAAACTTTTTTTTTCCACAAAGTTGTCAATTTAATGACATATTTCTCGCACAAGCCATGAGTATATGTGGAATTACACCCCAAAATACATTCTGCTACTTCTACTGAGCATGGGGATACCACATGTGTGAGACTTTTTGGAAGCCTAGCCACATACAAGAGCCTGAAATCCAATGACCACTTTGAAAGCCTGAAGGTGTATAACTTCCTCATTTCACTTCCTCACTATGTTTTTGTATTTTTTCTTCATTTTCCAAAAACTTGTGGCAACAAACGAGATCTGCAAAATACTCACCATGATTCTTATCAAATTCCTTGTGGTCTCTACTTTCCAGAAAGGGGTAATTTGGGGGTGGGGCTTGGTGCTGTCCTGGCATTTCAAGGCCTCCATAACTGTGACAGGTAGTCAAGAAGTGTAATGAGGAAAGAAAGCCCTTTAAAAGCCTGAAGGTGCTTATTGGATTTTGGGGTTCTGTACTTGGCTAGACTGCAAAAACTTCTCTCACATATGGTACCCCCATACGCGGGAGAAGTAGCAGAATGTATTTTGGGGTGGAATTCCACATATACCCATGGCATGTGTGAGCAATACATCCTTTAAGTGACAATTTTGTGTAAAAAAAAAAAATGTTTTTATTGTCATTTTCCAAAAACGTGGTAAAAAATGAATTCTTCTATTGATTCAACATGCCTCTCAGCAAATAGTTTGGGGTATTTACTTTCCAATTAGGGGTCATTTTGGGGGGTGGGGGCATTTTATGTCCAGCATTAGAAGTTTTAAGCCACACATCACTCACTCTTCTAACCTCCTGAAGATCAAGCCTTTTCTGACACTTTTTGTTCACATGAAAAAAATCTGTATTTTTTGCTAGGAAATTAATTTAAACCCCAAACGTTATATATTTTTTAAAGGAAACACCCTAGTGAAGAAAATGGTGGGTGCTGCAATTTTTTATGTCACATAGTATTCGCGCAGTGATTTTTCAAATGCAATTTTAAAAAAAAAATACACTTTTTTTTACTTTTAATGCACAAAAACACAATATATTGGCCAATTATTTGGTAATATATAAAAGATGATGGTATGTGGAGTAAATAGATACCAAACATGACATGTTTGGTAAAACTGCGCATGCCCCGTGCAATGGCAACATACTACAGACATTTTTAATATCCATAGGCAACGTTTTGAAAGCCTTTACAAGCAACCATTTTAGATTTACAGAGAAGGTCTAGTATTAGAATTACTGCCCTTGTTCTGACGATCACGGCGATACCTCACATGCATGATGCAACTGCTGTTTACATACCGGCACAGGGTCTCTCAGACTTTAGATCTCTCCTCTGCCCTTACGTTATCTAATCAAACCAAGATCAGTGTGGTCAGATGCTTTCCCAATTCACAAATGGCGCTGTTTATATCCTGCAAAACTGAAGTGATGAACTGTTCATGGCTTATGATTTCTTAGGCTATAGAGATGATTGGCACCATTCTGGTCTCCAATCAGCTCTATGGTTTGCTGGGAGAAACACCGGCTGCATTCTCAGGTTCCCCTGATAGCACGGGACTGCCCGAGAAGGCCGTGGAAGGCTGCAGAGGAGAGGGGGGGGGGCATCATGTCCTGCTGCTTGTAAAAGTAATCCTGCAGCTAATTAGCCACTAAGATTGCTTTTACATGAAAGCCAATCACCAGCTGAAAAAAATGATACCAGAATGATGCCTGTAGTTGTAGGCATCATCCTGGTATAATCATTCAAAATCCAGTGATGTACCAGTACATCAATGGTCCTTGTTGGGTATATATGCTATATTCTTTTTTTTTTTTTTTTTTTTGTATGCAGGCTCTGGGCTCAATGGAAAAAAAAGAGAAGAAATCTCTGCCAGAAAAAGTGTGTGGTATGCCCACCATTAGAATATACCGCCCTGCATCCACCCACTTCTAATGGTGGGCACACATTAGGTCACACTGTGCCACATGCGCCTGTTTCAAGATTGTACAAATGTCTAAATAGTGGCATTCTTGAATAAAAATTGTCCATGTATAAGTGGTACCCCATATGGAAAAAGGATGACACCAAGTCCAAAACTATCTTGCCACTGCTCCCTATGTAGTCTAGGCATCCGGGGTGCTCCACTGACTATCTTTTCACTCATAAATCTGAAACTTATAAGTATAGCCTGTTGCCCTCTCACAGGTCTTCTACATCTTGACTCCATATCTGGCACGCTTGCTGGGGAGGAATTGTTTGAATGCAAGGTGGCCAGAAAAATGAATGAGAGACTCATCAACGCAGATTTTTTTGCTGGGGAGTATAGACATTTGCAAATTTTTGGTTAAGGTGATTTATGAGGGCTGAATTTTTTGGAGCCAGTCAAATTCAGGGTCACCTTGGGGATAACAGAGTGTATTGTCGTTGAAATGCATAAAACACATTATACTATCATATCTATGCCATGACATGGCATATGATGAATCTGGTCTGTGGACCAATACAACCGCAATTCATTTTTTTTAGTAATGCTCATGTTGAGGGTTAGGTCCAAAAAAAATTTAAATTCGGAAACCGTAATGGGTTTTCCATGCGAATGGTCTGGCAAGGTTTGAATCTGGGTTGGCAGCGATAAGTTGTTGTGCATATAAATCGCTTTGATCCACAATCAATGCATACAGATCTTCCGTGAAAAACAGCTCCAAAAAATCAAGGGGAGTAGTTTAAATTTGCTGTTTCCACATGAATTCTGGGTTGGGCAGTGAATGGAGGCAGTATGGGTGCTGCAGAATTTGTGGGCTGCCAATCGGGATTTGCAAGCACATCCAGAAGGATACTAGGGGCTCTACGGGCCTGTGTGCGAATTCTTGGTGGCTGCGGGAAAAGACTTGTGCTTGCCACCGCACCAGCTTGTACTGCACTTATGGGACTTGCCACATCACCAAGTGATACTGCAGTGCTGGTATGTGAAAGACCAGGATGTACTAGGCCGCTGGTGCTCACCAGTTCACCAAAAGGTAGCAAGGCACTAGTACTGCATATGAGAGTCAAAATTTACCTGCAATTGCTAATAGATATCAGGCCTGATTCTGCGAACACTGTGGTTTGTGTGTGCAATGTATCAAGTGATAGTGACCTACTGACACTGCACTTGCTGGGGGAGAAGGGGGGTAAGCGTAGGGGCTAAACGCAGGTGCTGGAAGGTGCCGGGGCTGATCCCGCTAACGCTGGGTTTTTGGGGATGCTATACTAATGTGAACGCTGGTATAGTGCTGATCTGATCAACGATATTGATCCGTTCAGACACTATACTAGCAATGGAGGTTTACTGTGTATGAGCGTGTTCCTGGCAATCCAGGGGTTAAATGTGATTACTGGTGTACTGATGGGCAATCTGACTCTATCTGGGGAGGGGCGTGAAAACCACGGGAGCGTGAATCACATATATATATATATATATATACACGTGATTGTGCCCACCTGTGTCACCCTGTAGCAGTATTTCTGCTATAGGGAGGTCAGGAAGCAGTTACAGAAGCAGTTTGTGTTATGGCGCTGCGGTAATTTAACTGACAATTGCACAGTGATGCAATGCTGCACCCAAATGAAATTTACATCCTTTTTTCCCCACAAATTGAGCTTTCTTTTGGTGGTATTTGATCACCTGTGTGTTTTTTATTTTTTGCGCTATAAAAAAA